TGAGTGTGTGTCGTCTGTCGTGGATCTGTTGGATTCTGTCCTGCAGAGATCTGAGCAGCGCCTCGGTCTCCTCCACCCCTGACCTGCTCTCCACCTTCAGTGCCTTCCACCTGCCCCGAGCCCCACCCTCTGACACACACACACACACACACACACACACACACACACACACACACACACACACACACACACAGTAAGTCACTTTCTTTGTGTTCTTTCCAGGTGAGACAGCACCACAGTGTGTGTACCTGGTTGGGGGGGGCAGGACTGTGCCATCAGTTGCTGGGCAGACTCCAGTCCTTCCAGCAGTGACATCATGGAGTCGAGGACAAACAGCTGACGCCACAGAACCTTCTGCATGCGACGGCGGTCCTGAACACACGTGACAGGACGATTTCAGGGACTGTTTTGATCTGTCAGCTGATTGTAGTAAATACAACATAAAAGAGATGATGTCACACAGAAATTAGAGCCAACTTAAAATAAACAATAAAACAACATCATAGAAACATGAGGGTGACACACTGACGGGGCTCAGTGTTCATACTCACTCACAGGAGCACAGGTATACGAAACATATTCCATAAACACACACTCACAGTGTGTGTGTTCTGTTAGCACTGTGGACTTTATCAAACACACCAAAACATCTGGATCCTGAGCATGAGGAAGAAGACTGACTGAAGCTCAGCTCACTGAACCACTGGCACGCTCCACACTGCTGCCTGTGAGTCATGTAACACGGCAGCCATTTTAATGAGAACAGACAAAGCAAAGCCTTCCGCCAGCGTCCTCCTTATTGACGTTTCTCAGCCTCGTAGCTGCACTTCCTGTATTTGTGGTGATTTTCATCAGACCCCAGTCTGTTTCTGCTGTCAGCCTGGAGCTGCTGAACACCTCCTCTACTTTATTCTAACGTTGCAGGGATGGCTGTAGCACGGTGACGTGTTACACACACACACACACACACACACACACACACACACACACACACACACACAGAGGAAACGGCTCAGTAACTGCGTGTGTGAGTATCAGCTGTCTCTGGTATGAACTAGAGATGGACCGATCCGATATTACGTATCGGTCCGATACTGACGTCAATTACTGGATCGGATATCGGAGAGAAATAAAAAATGTAATACGATCCTTTAAATATCAAAAAAGGCACCTCACAAAACTTGCAACACGGCGTAACTCGGCTCATAACCGTAGCACGTCGGAGCAGTGTGGTCACGTGATAGAGCGGCTGTGTGTATTTGCAGCCTCGCCAACCAGCATTTCATCTCCGAGGAAGTGATCCCAGAGAGAAGTAAAGCAAGTGTGTAAGTTCATCTCTGAATGTTTGTAAAGCATTCCCGCGTTAAGCTTAACAACCGATGTATGGAGCGACTGCCTCTCTCTCTCTCTCTCTCTGCTGCTGCTACTTAATCATGAAACTGATCAATGATCAGCTGATCGTCTCTCTTGTTTGTTTTTGGCCCAGAAAGAGGAAACCAGCGGCTGAACAACAGCAGCACGTTTAAGCTTGATAAGCTGTTGTTAGAATGTATTTAATATTAATTTCTACACCAGGATCTTTTTCTACGTAGCTGACGGCTGTAACTGTGCAGGGGCGGATCTAGCAAAGTTTAGCCAGGGGGGCCGATAGGGCATGAACAGGGAAAAGGGGGCACAAAGACATACTTTTGTTTCTTATTCTCATTTAAAATGTCGAGCTTTTAATAAATAATTATCTGAATCTTACACCCAAAGTTTTAATCTGATGTAAATGTATAGAAGTCCATTACTGTAGTAACTGTTAAGTCTAATATACCCTAGTAAGCTGTAGTACTTTTTCCTTTGGAAAGATACCATCTGTTCAATCTGCAGTTCTGTTGAAGAAAGATGTTGAATCCATTTAATTGTTCTTGAAAAATAATTGATTTCTGTGTATTTTTTTTCCACACTGCATCAAATTAAAGTTGATTACGTCGATTAAGCATCATGAGGTGGAGGGTGGTTCCTTATTTTTTTTTTTTTTTTGCTGGGAGTTTTAGAGCCCTATTAGTTGCTTAATATTTCTGCTAAGTACTCTTTAAAATACCAGAATAGGGAGGATGGAGCAGGTTTAAGTTTATTAGATTGATCAGTTTTGGTGAACTATGAAATGTTTTGGGTGCAGTGTGTTTTTTACATGCAGGTATAACAGAATAGCTTTAGTGTTTGTTTGTTTTTAACTTGAGTATGAACTTATACAAAAAGCAGCAAGATATTAAAAAAACTTTTATTGATTAAAAACACGCTATATCGGATTCATATTGGTATCGGCAGATATCCAAATTTATGATATCGGTATCGGACATAAAAAAGTGGTATCGTGCCATCTCTAGTATGAACACTGATTGAAGTCCGCTCTGATAGGCTGGCCTCACTCAGGTGAGAAACTTGAAAACTTGCGACTGAGCCAACTCAGGGTCTGCTCTCCATTTCATTGTTTACGGTTTAACTATTCCCTCAGTGGGGGTCAGAGGTCAGGGTTTTGTGCGTTTTGCGAGGACTCTGATGTGTTGTGAGGTGTAGGCGGACTATTTTCTGCCACAGACCGTAAGGAAGAGCACCATCCGCGCCGCCTGGTCGCAGTCCGGCTCCGGTTCTCCGCGGGGCTCCAGCAGGGCCGGATCACAACGCCGAAGCACGCTGACAGCAAACGAACAAACGAACAAACGTCAATACTGAACCCTCGGTGACGCAGACCGTTAGCTTCAGCTGCTAACAGCTAATAAACTTCAGATTTTCAATGTTTTATTTCATCACGCGAGGCAGAAAACCGTCGCGTGACCCACGGTTCACGTGTGAAAAGGTTTCTGGAGTGGAAACAAACATTTATTGATGAGATTGATCACAATATATTAAATATTTTCAGACTTACGCTCGCACCGCCGCCATCTCTGTTTTCAAATATCCGCGCTCCCACCCGGGAGCTGATTGGCTCTCTGACAGTGACGCTACAGGCAGTTAAGCCAATCATCGTGTTGAAGACAGCGACGCTCAGCGGTGAAATCTGAAAAGCACCCATGAAATAAAAAGGTTTAAACATTAACAGTTTTTTTTAAAATTATTAAACTTTATTGAGAAACAGTATACAGAACATGTATACAACCAGAACAGAATGAACATATGCCAGGGGTGTAATACAAAGAATTACATACATTCAAATAATTTGTAATTACTACAAATAGTAATAGTTTTCACAGCCTTTTTGTTAAGTGATCCACGAATCAATTTTATGTAACATAAAACATCATTATAGTAATGTTTAAAATTAGGCTTTTTGTTACTGTATTTGCATTTGTGAAAATAAAATTTAGCTACGATAACTAACAAGTTTATTATAAAGTAAACATCTTCTTTTTTGCCTTCGAAAGAAACAAAATACTAAACATTAAAAACGTATTTTTTCAGGTTTAACTAATCCTGACGCAGAGGGGGAGGAGCCACTTCAGGTCATTCAGGTAAAACATGGAGTCGAGTGAGAACAGAGTGTACAAACTGGTGTATTACATTTAAACTTTTACATTTTTACAAAGGGTCAAGAGTCTTTACCCGAAAGAATTTAAAAAGACGTTTAAATGTGTTTTATGAATAGAGAAAATGATTGCTGTTTTTGAGATTCTTTAAAAATTTACTTGATATAAATTTTATTTGATATTATAAACTCATAATATTCTGATTGAACGCTCGTGATCAAGACAACATTTGATTTCGAGAACTTCATGTTAAAAGAGATCAAAACGAATCTCTGCTTCTCCTTCTCCTCTAACCCTCTGCATGTCCTCCTTCACTACATCCACGTCCTCTGAGGTCCTTTTCTTCTCCTGCCTGGCAGCTCCAGCTTCAGCTTCATCCTCCCTCCTCTGCACATGCTCAGACCATCTCAGCCCCTCTGAGATGGTCTGAATCCCCGATGGACTCATTTCCATCCTGCTCACTCCCAGTGAACATCTGAACATCAGATTTTTTTTTTTAAAAAAGGGGGAAATATACGGAAATAAAATAGCACTAATCTTATAAATGCGCTCATTTGTCTTTATTAAAGAGAAATGGGTTTAAACTTGTAATTGTGTAATAAGAATGGCAGAATGCCGTTATTTTAGTGAGCATGCGCAGGTGCAGCAGCAGGTCACGTGTTCTTGTAGAGAAAAATAAAGAAATCTCTGCAGAGCTGAGGCTAACGGCGGAGTTACGGTCCTCACGGCGGAGATTCCGGGAGTGAGAAAGCAGCCAGCGAACCGAGAGAAGCATGAGCTAGGCCACAGAGACGCGGTGACGCTCACAGGTACCGTTTATTCACCTCACCTGTCCGAATGTGCGCAAAGCTAACGCGCATGCTAACGCTGAGCTAGCAGATTGGGCTCGCGATGGAGCTAACTCCGCATACTGATCAGCCTCTGCGGGGGGAGGATTGCACGGATAGATGTTGGTCACTGTGCACACAGCTGGAGGGGAGCGCGGTGAGGAGGATGAATCGTTAGCCCAGCATCCTAGAGAGACCCGGGCCGGTTAGTCCGGAGCCAACCCCCCCGCCCCCGGACCCGGGCTGGTGGGGTCCAGTGGAGGCAGAGAAGCTGTTCAATAGTTCAGGTTTGACCAACAGAAAACTGGTTTAAGCCACCAGGTGAATCCAGATGGAAGCCTCAGGGTTCAGGCCTCCGTCACAGGAGCAGCCGCTCACCTCTGACACATAGGCTGCGTTCACACTGCAGGCGAAAGCGCATCAAATCTGACGTTTCTGACCCTGTGCGACCCATATCCGATCACGGTCTGACAGTGTGAACGGCGCAAATCCGATATTTTCAAATCCGACCTGGGTCACTTTCGTATGTGGTGCTGAATCCGACACATATCTGCGACTGCTGTTTGATGGTCATGTCGCATGAAATCCGTCTTTCACGTCACTGACACAAGACAGGCGCCGATTTTCAGCGCCGGAGAAGACATCGCGAACGCTTCCTGTCCATCCGGCGAAACTGTTGGGAACAACGTTGGAGAAACGTGAACATTTTATTTGTTCTGTATAATCTGCAGACTGACAGAAATCTGCAGCTAGAAGCAGCGCTCCTCTAAAACAGCAACAAGGATCATTATTAGGACAAATGTAAATAACAAGATAACTTTATAACTTAAAGCAAAACTGGGAAACGTAAAGTCAGAAACAGTCAAACATACTGTTTGTTTGGTCTAAACGGAGCGCGTTGTGTGTGACGTCTTCTTTTGCGCATGCTGCTTTGAGCGTTCACACTAGAGCGCGTTTGCTGTCGCATTTTATTTGTAGTGTGAACGAGCAGACAAAGAAGAACAGCATCGTCAGAAAGGTATTGATCGGATTGTGTGTCTGTGTTTCAGGTGATCAGGTGTGTGTTGTATCAGCTGCAGGATGCCCATCCCTCCTCCACCTCCTCCTCCACCTGGGGGACCCCCGCCTCCCCCCACCTTCAGCCAGGTGAGCTTTCTCTCATTCATAACCTGTGAGCCTGAGAAGACTTGCAGCATGTCACAGTCTGGTTATTTAACTCCACCTCCATCTCTCAAAAGGCCAATACCAGCCCCCCGAAGCTGAGCAAGGAGGAGGCCAAAGGTCGTGGCGCGCTGCTTTCGGACATCTGCAAAGGCGCCAAGCTGAAGAAGGTGGCGGTGGTAAACGACCGCAGCGCCCCGCTGCTCGACAGTAAGACTCAGACACCAAAGAGCCAAACAACCCCCACAGAGCACCCATACATTCGCTTATACCAGTACCTACACCAGCAGCAGAGCCTGCCCAAACAGCAGGGGGCGCCGTCTGAGGAGCAGAAGAAGACGGTCGGAGATAAGAGCCCCACGCTGTCGCTGGAGAGTAAGAACGCCATCTTCTCTGGTACTGGAGTCAGCGTGCAGGAGGCCGAGCGCAGCCTGAAATAGCCGCTGTGTTTCCTGTCCACCGAGGGAGAGGGGCAGACGGGGCCAGACCCGCTGAGGTCAGCTGACCTGATGGTCAGCAGATCAGCTGAAGTTTTCCCCCCCCCCCGACGGGGTCCTGGGGGTGCTAAGCTCAGCTACGGAGCGCTTCCTTTAGATTCCTGCGTCTGAAATCAGCTGATCGCTCATAACCATGTGACCAGCAGACGCAGTCAGATCAGAGCTGACCTAAACTTGCCTGCACAGCGGAGCACGCCTCACACTCATCCTGATGAATAACTAAACCTGTGGGGGGGCACGGGGTCCTGATACGGCCCCGGTCACGAGCTCACGCTTCAGCCTGCGATGTGTGTAAACATGGCGTGGGCCACGCGTGTGTGTGACTTGTTAGTGCTAGCGCTTTAGTTCAGACCCTGCGCATTAACACCACAGACTCCTGTTCTGGGATCTGTTTTCCAAAGTTGCCAAAATAAAGTTTAAACATGTTTCAGGACAAACGCTCAGCAGAGTTGAAACAGGAAGTGAGCGCAGGCAGGTAACACGCAGGTAATTCATCGAACCTGCTTGTGTTTCTGCTGCTGGCCAGCAGGAGCAGCCGCACAGACGGCGTTTAAATGTGACCCGGGTCCTTCGGGCTTATATGCGGTCACCCCTGAAGATCCAGCCTGTGCAGGAAACCCCGTTCCTCCTGGAGCTGGCACACTCTGGTCCACAAACACGCTCGTCGTCAGTGTGACGTCACAGCGCGGACGCAGGTGATTAATCTGGTATCAGTGTTGGGATTGGAGAGAGCGTCAGAGCTTCGACTCTTCTTCTGCGCACCCTCGGTGGCGGCGAGGTGTGAACAGCTTCAGCTGTACAGGCAGAGACGGCCGGCAGCAGCCTCTGACGCGCGCTCGGTCAGTTTGTAGAAGCAGGCTGAAACAGACGTCACTGCATGAGCTGAAAGACTGGAGGAGCGATCGCTCTGCTGCTGCTCCTCCGTCTGTAGACGGCTCGTCGTCTGTTTGACGGGCGGTTCTGAAAGTGGCCGTGACTCCTGCCCGTCATCGGGCTCACAGTTGACCTCCACACACACACGCCGTGTCCCCTCCGGCTCTGACTTCCTGTTTGTTTCTGTTCCACCTTTTCCTGTTTCTCCTCATCTGATCCGTTCTGTCTGTGTCGGCTTCACCCTGAACCTCCGTCATGTCTCTGCTCTAACTTCTCTTCCTTTCTCCGCCGAGTTCAGACTTCAGGTTAAAGTTGCACCACGGCGGTGGCGTGCGGGCTCGGTGGGCAGGTGACGGAGCGGCTGTTGAAACAGATGCTGCAGCTTCCTGCACAGCTGCTGATGACCTGATGATGCTTTCTGCTTTGCTGTGTGTGTTCCTGCTCTGTAAATGTCTGCCGTCCACGCCACCCACAGTTTCATCCCAAACCATCGACGCACTCGCGACCGCACGTACGCGACACGGCTGAGCGCTCACTTGTCGGTGGAGCTGATGTCCTGGCCTGATGCTGGTTTGCAGAACAGGAATGTTTCTAAAACTCTATAACGTGTCATTGAAAGCCGTGCTCGCCGTTTCCTGCGTAGACTCTGTCGGGCGACTGAAAGCCGCCCTATCACACACCGATCAGCAGGATCATTGTCGTTGTTATTTATGTAGCACATTTAACTCCAACAGCAACGTTGACCAAAGTGCTGAACAGAAAAACCAAATAACTCTCAAAGTGTATTAAAAGGCAGTGAATACCATAGATTGACAGTCGGAGCCTGTCTGATGTGTGGGGGGAGATTATTCCACAGTTAAGGCGCCACGACCACAAACGTTCGATCGCCTCCGTGAACCAGCCTCGAACTGGGTACAGCTAAAAGCAAAAGATCCTTTGATCTAAGAGATCCAGAGGGTGCAGAAGGCTGCAAGAGGTCCGATTAAACACCCAGGAGCCTGTCCGTTCAGGGCTTTAAGTCTACAGTACAATTTTAAAATCAATTCTGATGTGAACAGGGAGCTAGTGAAGACGGCGAGCATCGGGGAAAATGTTCACGTCTTTTAGTTTGTGTCAGAAGACGAGCTGCAGCAATCTGGACCGACTGCAGCCTTACAAGGCAGGTTCGACTAACTGCAACATATGAGAAGTTACAACTGTCTAAAAGATAAAAATGATCCCACCTTGGATAAAAGCCTCAGTTTGTACAACTGAGCTAATCTGTATTTTAAAGGTGAAGTTATTGTCAAATATAACCGCCAAATTTTTAACGTGCGACTTAATAAAAGGCTGAAGACTGCAGGCGAGAGTTAAAGTGCTGCGATTGCTACGAAACATTTAGGAAGTTAGAGGCCATCCAGACACTGATGAAGGCTTTTACTGGAGCAGAGCAGCTTCTCATCAGTCTGAGTGTCATCGGCGTATCAATCAAGTGTTATATTCGTTATGTGAAAGTTAGCTAGAGGCAGCATATAAATAGAGTAAATTGGGCCCAATATGGAACCCTGAGGAACACCACAAGTAAGGGGAACTGAAGAAGACGTGAAATAGCCAAAGCTCGCAGAGAAAGTCCTGAACCACTATGAGGGAAAACCCTTGGACAGAGCTTTAAAACCAGACTGAAACCTCTCCAGAACATTTTTATAACGACAGCTGTGTGCAAAGAAATTTTGTCTCGACTGTAAAGTAGAAACCCAGAACGTGTCCACAGCGGGTGGATGTTTCAGGAGTGAAACTGAGAGCGTGCAGCGGGATCAGTTAGCTTTTAGCTCGTACGCAGACACACCTTGTTAACCTGCAGCGGGACAAGTGGGCGGCAGACACCTCTGACCTTCCTCTACAGCATGAAGCCTGCCGAGGGCTGCACAGCTCGGTCATCCTGCTGCTTTCACTGCTGAAGGGTTGCTCTGCTTCCTGTACCCGTGTGCTCAGACCAGCTACAACTCGAGTTAGCATTTCCACTTCCTGTTTCCTCGCTTTGAAGTCAGTAGGCTTTCCTTTCAGTGTCTGAGAGGTTTACACTCAGGCCCCGCCCCTAACAATGCAAACTCTGACTCACTGCTGCCTCTACTGGACGGTAGAGGAACTGCAGGATTGGAGGTGAATTTATTTGTTCTAACATCGCCTCGTTAACCCACTGGCTTCATGAGCATGGAAAAGGGGCGGTGCTAACTTTAGAAGCAGAATGAGCCTTCAGGTAAAGGTGAAATAAAGACATTTTATCTCACGGGTGGGCGTGGCCACACTTCAGACCAACTTTACATCTACTTCCTGTAGCATGTTTTCAGTCATCATGACGTCTGGTCTGATGGTGGTGACGTGACTCCTTCCTCTTTCGCCCTACCTGACGGATACAATGTCTCCAGTTTGTTCCTGACTGATGCAGCCCTGATGATGTCACTGTGATCTAATAGGTTATAATCGATGTGTTTTCGACTGTTTGTTGTGCTGGCGATGATGTCATCGGAGCTGCGTGGGAGCGTAAAACACTTAAACTTAAAGTCTCACTTCATCTCACCTCATCTCACCTGTGGCAGTCTCCTGACCTCACCTGCATCCTACCTCGCGCACTAATCCATCCCATCGTCACGTCAGTGACGTCATCGTAGTGTCGTAGCTGTGGTGTCGGTGTAAAGCAGTGATGTCACACCCTCAGGAGGCGGAGCCCTCACTCATCTGTCCGATGGTTGTGGTTCTCAGAGCCGAAAGGAGGTGGAGCAGCTGCTGCAGGAGCCAATGGGAGCGGAGCAGGCAGTCCATCTGGTTGTGCTGCACCAATCGGAGGCCTGTTCACAGGCGGAGTTCCCAAACTAAGGCCAGTCGGAGGTGAGAGGTCATTTGCTACTTTGTCACTTTGTATTTTTTCAATTTCAGATTGTTTTTATTTGTTTTCATATTTTTTTTGTTTGTTTTTATAAAAAATCTTGTCAAATTTTAATGATATTTTTTATTTTTATTGTTTATTTTTATTTAATTTACAAATAAAAATAAACGGGTATTAATAAAGTTTTAGATGTTTGTAAAGTTACCTTTCCATATTTTCCATAGATGGCGCCGTCGGTCGCTCTCCCTCCACTCGGGCTGCTGCGCCCCGCCCTCCCAGCCATCGCCATGATGATGCAGAGAGCCCCTCCCCTCAGGCATCATCACCCATGGAGACATCTCGCATGCCGCGTCCTTCCCTCCCCAACCTGTCTTCATCCCCTTCTCCCTCTTCCCCCTCCTCTACAGCCTCATCCCCCTCCACCGGCATGAAACACTCTTCCTCTGCCCCTCCTCCACCCCCTCCCTTATGTCGCAGAGGTAACGCCCCCTCCCCTCCCACCTCCGCTTACAACAGAGAGAAGCCCCTTCCCCCCACCCCCAACAACACCCCTCCACTGCCCTCCAAACCCCCACCATCTCCTAGCAACAGCAGGCGCCCTCCTACCTCGGGAGGAAACCCCGTGTCCTCCTCCTCTCTGGCCCCGCCCCCTCCACCATACCGCATCACTAACGGCCCAGCTGGTGGCGGTGGAGAGGCAGCACCCGAGCTGCCACAGCGCCACAACTCACTCAGCAACAAGAGGCCCGCCCCCTCACCAGGGGGCCACACCCCTTCCAGAGGCCCTGCCCCTCCACCTCCTCCAGCGTCACCTACACCCTCCCAGCAGGGTGCCAACAGGCCACCGCCCCCTGTTAGAGAGCCGCCAGGTAGAGGAGCAGGTGAGAGGTGATGTCCTTAAGTTACACAGGCAGTAAGATATAGTGCTCCGGGTGCATTATGGGAAATTTAAGAGCAAATGTTCATTTTATTTTCATGAACGCTTTAACAAATATAACACATTTTAATAAAAAAAAATTATTTAAAATAATGTTTTGCGTTCTGTAGACATTCCTGCAGTTTAACTCATTGGTGTTATCTGGCCTATAATTAGCTAAGACAGGTCTAGTTTTATTTTTTTATTTCTCCAGGCTAAATGATGATCCTCTAAATTTGTGACACGCCATTTCCTCTCCAGATTACGAGTCATCTGCTTTAGGCTACGTGTTTGAGAATTATACCACGGAGTCAGGTACTTCTGATTAGAGGCCTTAGTTTTCACAGGAGCTACAGTATCCAGAGTCGTACGTAGTGAGGAGGTGAAATTATTAACAAGATAATCGACCTCTGTTGGGGTAGCGTTCAGATAGCTGCTCTGCTCTGTGTTGGTACAGGGCATTGGAGATGATAACAGTGGGTGGATTATATTCTTAAACTTAGTTACAGCGCTTTCAGAAAGACATCTACTTTGATAAAGTCTACTCTTCACTGCTGTGTAATCAATTATTGTAAATGTAAATGTTATCAGGAAATGATCAGACAGGAGAGGGTTTTCAGGAAACGCTGTTAAATGTTCAGTTTCTATGCCATATGTTAAAACAAGATCTAGAGTGTGATTAAAGTGGTGGGTGGGTTCTTTTACATTTTGAGAGAAGCCAGTTGAGTCTAATAACAGACTAAATGCCATGTTGAGGCTGTCATTTTAGCATCTACATGGATGTTAAAATCACCCACAATAATTATTTTTATCTGAGCTCAGAACTAAATTAGATATAAAGTCTGAGAAATCAGACAGAAACTCTGTGTAAGGCCCAGGTGGACGATAGATGATAACAAGTAAGACTGGTTTCTGAGTTTTACAGCTGGGGTGGACGAGGCTGAGCATCAGGCTTTCAAATGAATTAAAGTCTGTCTGGGTCTTTGGTTGATTAATAGGCTGGTGTGAAAAATTGCTGCCACACCGCCCCCTCGGCCTGTGCTTCGAGGTTTCTGGTAGTTAGAATGACTCGGGGGTGTTGATTCATTTAAACTAACATAATCATCCTGCTGCAACCAGGTTTCTGTAAGGCAGAGTAAATCGATTTGTTGATCAATTATTAAGTCAGCTCCTCGCTGACGTGTAATTACAACAGTGAGTGTGTGATGAAGTGGGTGTGTCTGCTCGTCAGTCATGGAGCAGGTAGACCAGCTGCTGTGATCTGAGCACACGAGCTGTGGACACTCAGGGTTTAAATTAGATGCAGTGACGGGTTTAAGGTGGAAATGCTGGAATAAAAGAAGAGATTCTGAGGTTTTCACCCTCAGGGGAGTTCAAATCATGTTCAACTCTGGACGTCATGTGATGGAATTTATTTAATCGTACTTGTTCTGAAAATATTCAGATTTTTTACCTTTGGTTTCGTTTTTCTTTTAAAAATTATTATGAAATTGTTGTAACTTCATAAAAATTTAACAAATTATTTTTGATTGTTAGACAGTTTTCAGAAGTACAGTCACCTGTGTCGATCACCTGTGTCGATCTCTCCTCAGCTCCTCCGGTTCCGGTCCAGACGTCCTTGAGGGCTGGTGGCAGAGAAGCCCCGCCTCCCCCTCCTTACAGGACACATGGTAGCCC